ATATAATGGTCAAGATCGGGTGCCCAGAGAAATGATTCATCTCACGCCTTGGCTTCTCAGAATGATTTCGGCCACGTTGTTTACTTCGGCAAAGGTCACATTCCTTGTCGCATGCACATCCGCCTCTAGCAGCTGCTTTAGGGTGTGATATTGGCCTTTGACGCGCCTGCTGCCATCCTTTGCTTCCAAAAGAAAAATGGTTTGGATAAGTCTCCAGTTCTCTCTCCAATTCTCTCTTCTGTCAAACCACCACAGTCGCCGGTCTCTGATTTGTAGCTCAGCAGTACAAGGCTTTCAGCGTACTCTAGATCTGTCATGAGTATTGTTGGGTGCCTTCGGCTGAGTCGTCGCCTGAGAGTAAGCCCTCGCTGTTGTTAGGGACGATGATCCTCCGCGTCACGTAATCCACCACCTTGTTGAATAATAGAGATGGAAATAGTTCTGCTCGAATGGCGCCTCCAGTACCTTCGTAAAGTCCTTTTCGCAGATCGATTGATGATCGCAATATGCGTCACAAGGACAGACAGTGTACAGAGTCGAAGGCTGCTCGGAAGTTGAGGAATGCTTTGTTTGGAGATCTTTCTAGCATGGTTGTGGCAATTATCTGTGATGCTAAGGATTCGTATGAAACTGCTATCTGTCGTGATTCAATGAACTGATGATATGCAGCTTTACTAGCTTCAATGCTGCGAATTTGTCAATTATCCTCAGTTTTGCTATAAATTATTTTGCAAGTTTTGTTTAGAATGGAAGCGAATTGCAAGAAAGGGTGAGCTGCTGCAACTCTACTTCGCATGAGGAATGTTGCATTGCAGCTCTGCTGAATTGATTTCCATCTTAACGTTAATGTCTAAAAGTAGTGCTATCTGTAACTTCATAATCTTCAGCCTTTTCCATCAACTGTTATATGACAGCTTCTCAAAAATTTGAACAAAATCTCCCGTTCTGCAGTTTCTATCCACGTCACTTCAATCCATTTTTTTTCAGTTCATTCTGCCATCTATTTGAGATCTTCCCAAGGGCCCTTTACTTGTACCCAAAAATCAGTCTAGTATCTCTGTGGTCCAGAGATGGAAAGTTCTCGTTGCAGAGATTCATGTTTTCTATCTGTAATATATTCATATTGAGATTTCGTAAACTTTATTCCACATTCATTACCTCTCTTGCCATATGTTAAAGAATAAGTCTAATTATTGTACAATATTTATTTTACAAACTGTAGTTATTTCACAACTCAACTGTTGGAAATATGTTATTTCGCCATTTATCAACAAATGATGTTCTCAACTTTTTACTATTTGTTTTTTGCAGTTTATTTGTTTAATGGTCTCTATTTTAGCTGTCATATTGGCCATACTTTTAACCTCGATATTTCTGTTGGCGATTGTTCGTTACTTCGTGTCACGAAAGCATAAAGAGCAAAAGGATCTTATAGATGAACAGAGAATTTTGAGCTCTGCTGCAAGCGGTTATAATCCGGGATCCATGGTCGGAACAGCGAATCCAGGATCAGCGGTAGACTTGGATTTACCACCTGCAACTACTCTGGAAGAGCGCAGAACTTACTGGGATTATTAAGCTTGACAAGCATTATTGCTGTAATGCATTTACCAATGGTTTTGCTAACCTCATATTGGCAGAACATTTCTAGGTTATTCTTTATATTGTTTGCGAATCGCGTTATTAGTTAGTGAATCAATTCTTTGACTCTCTCCTCTGTTCAAATTAGTAAAGCTTTTTGTACAGAGTTCAGAACAAGTCTACGCATGCATGCTGTAGAGGTACAATTTTTAAAAAGGTCGATTGGCGATGAAACAGTGAAGCATTTTAAGCACTTAAAAACATATGAACAGTTTGTCAAGCGAAACTTCTCTCGAAAAAAGCTGTTCTTGGAATTGCTTGTAAACACAATCATGGCTGCCGCCGTCAAACGATTAATCGGCAAAGATTCTTCATACTAAATATTCAACAAGGCAAGGTTTCCAGTATGTCGTTCTTAGCAAGGTTATTGACGAGAAAAATAAGGCAACCAAAAAAAAAGACGAAATTGATTTGAGTTCGAACAGACCTTTGTTAGACCCTGCCTAGTGATGCGGTTCTGCATCCACTCACCGCAGGTGCTCAAACACCATGGAGCCGTGGCTTGCTTAAATGGTGTTGTGGGCGACCGTAAGCAAGGGGAGGCCCCAATGCGCCGCTTCAATGCGGTATCAAAAGAGAGAGTGTTAATTTGCAAGGAATTTGTTTCTGCCGCATAAGTAAGAAAAAAATTCAAATTGGACGTAATGAATTGTTAAAAAAATAAGGCATGTTTTCTCTCGGTATTATGGCAAATTCACTTCATATTAAGTAAACTACTATTTAAAAACGTTTATATTCATAATGCTCTTAGGGACTGTTACGACAATTTCTCCTTTATTATGATCACTTAATTTACTTCATTCATATTCTTAAACTGAAGAAGCAGTATATTAAAGTGTATTAATTATAACAAAGAGATCAATTAACAGTTCATGAATTTAGCATATTGTCATTAAAATAAATCATCTAGAGTAAGTCAGTCAATCAACTGCATCCGTCGGAGAGAGTCACAACGTTTGAGAAGCTGAAACAAGACTGGGAAATCAGATATGGTAGCACATCTCAAAAGAATGGGAGAGTTGCCTTTGGAGAACCGAATATCAAACAAAGCCATCATAATTGGTTGCAAGCACCTTTGTCCATGCTGAAGCAAAATGAAGAAAATACGGTTTCAGAAGCTATGGGAAAGTGAACAAAAAACAAATGAACAAGAGGAAGTTTATGGGAAAGGGAGAAACTTAATTGAACAGTTGGTTCGGTTACACGAAAGCACACGTGCACACCTAAAATGGTCTGAAATGCGTCACTTTTTGTCGGGATCACCTAATGGTGATTGGCCCATTAGGTCATTAGTGCAGCCGTAAGAAGTGCTTCCATCGTATAGCATGGCCCTATACCGTCCTTTCCAGTGAAAGGTCTAAAAGATCTGCTGAGATCTCCAGAAGTGCCGGGTTCGATTCCGTCCGAAAGAAATGGGTGTCTTACTCATTAGGTCTATTGAGCAAAAAATTATCACAAATTGCTTCAGACTGGGGTTGCTGAGTCGACGGAGCATCGAATTCAAAACCAAAAGGTTCTTAGTCAAGCTTCGGTCCATTAGCCTATCTTCCTTCCAAGATTAAGTTCCACTCTGTGAGAATGCAGTAGGAAACTACATACTGCGCTTGTCACGTGGCAGTAAGCTTATTCTTTTTTCTTTTCCTTGCATGGTCACTGAACAGGGGTCCACTAATCGAGTCAACCTTCTTCACGTTTGTCTGCCTTTGGCTAAATCTTCGGTGACTCGGCAATTTCATATCGTTCTGGACCACATTGCGCCATATTTTCTTTGGTCTTCCCCTTCTTTTCTTCCGCGCACTATGAGTGATTGGATCACGTCTCCAACATAGCCCATGGGTCGTCTTCAACTCATCAACGGAACTTGCTTTCGATAGGCTTTCCTGAAATTGGTGCTGCGCCTAAAAAGCTTTTCATGAAGCTGTTTCGTACGTGGACCTTTCCGACACTACTCATCTGCCTGGGAAATTGCATTTCACCTGTTTCTCGTACCCTCTCAGGGCAGCCAAACATTCCACTCTGTAGAGAGGCAGGGGTCTGACTACCGTTTTGTACTCCTACCCCTTCAGTTTGATGGACATGATTTTGTGGTACTGTACTCCGTTCACTTATCTTCATTCGAGCAAAACTTTTTAAAAATGATTTCGTATCTCTATGTCAATTTCTGCACCATCTTGCAGGACGGAACCAAGATAGCTGAGTTCTTGGGTTCACTGGTCTGACGGATTTCAACTGTTTTCAACACTGACATAGTTCGACATATATTCTGACTTGTGTTTGCTGATTCGCAGGCCATTTTTCTCAAGAGCTGTTCCCCATGCCTCAGTTTTTGTTTCTAGAGACTGCTTTGGCCGTATTACAAAATGTCATATGCATAGAGCATGCAGTACGGAGATGCTTCCTGATGATCCTTAGCTCTCGCGTCTGTCGTATCGTTAACAGAAATAGGAGCAGTGGAGATTCTTAATGGACTCTTACCCACACAAGGAAGTCTTCCGTTATGAACTTCATGCCATCATTGTCATTCTTTGGTACCTGCCGTTGGTAAACCTAACCTATTTTTCAGGCACAAGCTCTTTTCTCTCCTCACCCGACTGCCTACCTCCGGATTCGGTCAAACGCTTTCACCAGGTCTAAGAACATCGTGTGAATGTCTTGTCTGCCTTCTTTCTATATTTCTGAGGGCTGATTTTAAAGCAATCATGACGTCCTTAGTTGACTACCTGGCGTAAAGCCAAACTGGCTCGCTGTGATGTCGACTGCTTTTCTCAGTCATTTCTCCAGCACCGTCTCGTTTAGCTTCATGATGCGTCTAAGCAGTTTTATTACCTGGTAGTTTTCTCCGGCTAGCATGTACCTTTCCATTTTGTATATTGACATCAAAATACTCTGCCTCCATGATTCGGAATTTTCTCATATTTATGATTTAGTTGAACAGGGTCAGACCACGCCTTCTTGCTTCAGTTCTTTTCATGCTTATATAGGAACTCCGTCCAGACCAAGGGCCCTTCGATTTTTTATTCTGCCCAAGATTTGTTCCACTTCCTCAGGTGAGATCTTTTCGACTAGGTCCTGGTGTTGTTGAATCTGTTCCGTAACCTCTCTGGGACGTTCTTCGTTTAGCGGCGTTGGGAAATGCCTCAGCTATCGGTTGCGAATTTCTCGTCGGTTAGCATCCTTTCGCTTTCGTCTTTAATGCAATTCACATTTTCGACGTCTCTTGTTCTTCTTTCTGTGGCTTTTGCTATGCCACGGATGTCTTTCTCCGCCTCCTTCATTTACTGTATTTTGCATAGACTCTTGCACGTTGTAGTCTTTGCTTCGGCGATGATTTTCTTTGCCTCCATCTTCGATCTAGCATATTTTACTCCGTCTTCAGCGTTGTTCGATAATTGCCACTTCTTGAACGGCTTTTTTCTTCTGTGTCGGGTCCCCTGCGCGTTTGCATTCCAGCACCACGCTGCTCTCGGATATGTGTTGTGGCTTTTGTTTCTCTGACTAGACCCATGGCACTCCTTATGAATCTGCTTGCAATCGGCTCGCTTATTTCGTTCGCTTTCCTGTTCCAACCTTCCTTTGCCATTTTTCTCATAGTTTCCATTTTGAATGCTTCTTTCACCTTTCCTTGAAGCTACCATCGCTATATTTTCAGGGTTGTCGCCATGCCCACCGTTTGAATTGGCTGTTTCAAAGAGTGAGAGGCCTGGGACAGTACCTGTTGCTGGCTTATGGCAGTTTCCACGGGAGTAGCGGGTTCGATCTGAAGAAGCGCTCAGCGGCATCTGGAATTGCCTCGACACTATGACCTGGCCGATAAAATGACACAGCGGACAAGACATGAACATATATGAAGGCAGAGCTAGATTGATTACCAGTCAGTGCCACGTGGCTGTAGTCTCTGTATTTAAAGTAAGGCACTCCCGGCTGATGCCGTAGAAACGCAGGACAGCAGCGCACCATAAAATTCATAAAAGGATGGAACTAAAATAGCTCAATCATGAAAGTGAAGGAAGATCGACGTTCAAACAGTGATAAATTCTCTTTTTTTTCTTTTACAGTATAATTCCGGAATAAGATGTTGATGCAACTCCTGGAAAGTCAAAAATTTTCGATCCTTTTATGTACTGGCTACACAGAAAAAAGACAAAGTATTTCGTTGCTCAATGGAATACGCGGCTAAGACCAAGATTACTCCTTTCCTACATTCGAATTTCGTACCTCCTGAATTCGAAGTTCACCGCTTTGTCACTCTTCCGCCGCGCTTTACATATCCTGCAAGATAACTTGCTGAGCTGAAGTACGCAGATGATAATTTTCTGATGAATAATAAGGAAAACGAGCTTCGTAAACGGATGATTCCCATACGCAAGCAAATTCACGAGAGCCGGACGGCTCCTCTGTAACACCCGGAAATGTAAAGTTACGAAGAACCGAAAATTGATTATTTTGTTCCTGCGATAGTGACCATACTGAAAACTGAAAATGTATAAAAATATGATTTATTCAAATACAAGGCAAGAAAATTGATCAGTTGGGTTATCAACCGGTACCAACTTTTCCGTTCGTCTACTACAAAGATTCCTCATGGTGAATCAACCAGCATTGAGCGGAAATATTTACTTCACCTCATTTGCGAAGCGAAGTTAATATCTCGATGTAGCACAGCTGCTCAGAAATCGTTACTGTCACTGCTGTGACCGCGTTTTCTGTAATATCATGTTTGTTTGTCTTCACCAAGCAGTGACGCTTACTGGTAGATTTACCCAGGTAATTAAAACATTATAAATACCAATGCTGAAATAATATCTCTATTTCGTACTTTTCCAAGGATCACTGCAGCCTTCAAATTTTATGCATAGGTTGTAGAGCAATAAACTTTCTATTTTCTCTTCCACCATAATGGCAATCTGAATATTGCTAGTTACTGTTATTGGTCATAGCTACATTCGACTGTAGTTTTCTTTGTCGTGATAGTGTGGTTTGCGATTGATCAAGACTACAGAATATGCTAAAATTGGTAAAATTTATTGCTTTAACTGGCTGTGTTTACCTGCAATAATGTTTTGCCGTTAATGTCAATTAATGGTAGCTAGCGGTGGTGCCAATATGATAAAAATATCGATGTATTCATCGTTTATTCGACTTGTTCCCTTGAAGGAACGTCACGAACGCAGATCGATGCTCCTGCCATGCTCTTCTTTTTATCCGAGTGTTTTTTGTGAGTCGGTATTTGGTTCCATTCGTATGGCTGCCCTCGTGAACCATTTCTGCTGTCTCTTCAACCGTCCTCTAGTGCAGTAGATTTAGAAAAGCAGTGGAACACTTAGAGTGAAATATGTTCGTTATGGACATATCAGTGGCGGTCAGCATCACTATTTCAGTATACAGGAGTAGATTCTGCACACATTCGGGCCCTCATTTCAGCAAGAATGAATTAATGTTAAATTCACCGTACTCCGGTTCGTTGTACACGCCGTAACATGTGATATGTAGGTTCCAATATATCATCGGCCGTGTGGGGTGGCCCGTATCATTACTGCCAGGGCGCTGCCAACGACGGTTTTTTATGCTGTATTCTAGTTTACGCAGTACTTACTGATGGTACTCTTTTGTGAGCAGAGTGAGATCAGTAAACTGGCTCCTTAGATGTTGAATAAATAATGACACGGAAAAAGTGTAGGTGATTTACCGACATCGCCAGGGCGTTTAAAAACTGGCCTATGCTCCCATGAAAACAGCATTTCCCGACCTCGTTAAAATTTATTCTCGTGCTTATGTCTTATCTTGCCTGCCTGCTACACTGGCATTGCATTCGTCTCCGGTTGGCAACGAAGGCAGATTATGGACAGCGCCACTATGTCTATTATACTGATAGAAAGTGCTTTGGCGAGTTTGTCATGGTCGGAAATTCCCCTGGCTTCTTGTTTACTGCGCAGTAGGGCTATTTGTTCGTAATGTTTGATAAATGAAGCTTCAGACGGTTTGACTGTTCTCGAAATTCAGTGAAGGGGTCGTCGCCAGCTACTTTTTCCTGTCTCTGGTTCTACTCTGAACTGTTCTGAAGAAAGCTATTGCCCCTGGTCTGATCTTTAGACCTTGAACGATGGCAGCGATCTGGGTACCGTACATAAAGTGGAAGAATCGTGACTCAAAGCGATCCAAATTAGCCCTGCATTGACGTAGTGAATGGTTAGTAGGGGCTTCCTGATGGAGGGATTCATTAACTGACTGATGGACGACTGATTGACGGTTAAAGGGAATGAAATGTCTGCATGAGACCGACCGACCGGCTGAGTGAGTGAGTGATGAAGCGACTGATGCTATGTTGACGTGTCTTGAGTCGCGTCTATATTCTGGCTTCGTCTACCTGTTGGGATGGTGTTAACAGCCAATTTATGTATATTATGATATGTTTCACAGGTGAAGCGAACGAGATGAGTTCAACTGCTGGACAGGTATGTAAATCGTTAAGGAACTAACTGATTACCTGAAGGCGGAAATTGCTTCTATTAGGTGATCAAATGCAAGGCCGCCGTCGCCTGGGAACCTGGAAAACCGCTCTCCATCGAGGAAATTGAGGTGGCTCCTCCGCAAGCCCATGAAGTTCGCATCAAGGTACAAATTGGAAGTGGTTAGTTCTTACTTAGCGAATCTTAGTCGAAGTCTCTCTTAGCAGTGACAGCCATAAGAGTGCATAGTTAATACATTCGACAACTTATGTACAGTTAGTATATTCATAACTTTTAGATATATTTGGATATGTTAATTTTGATCATTTTTAAAAAATAAAACATTTCTATCAAGTGATGTTTACATTTAACCCTTTTTCAGGTGGTTGCTACCGGCGTGTGCCACACTGATGCCTTTTCACTGAGCGGAGACGACCCTTCTGGCGTTTTTCCTGTTATCCTTGGTCATGAGGGTGCTGGAATTATCGAAAGTGTTGGCAAGGGAGTGACCGGGTTAAAACCTGGTAAAGAACTTCAGTTTTACTGTCTTTGTCTTCTAGAATTGGATTCAAATGTCTTTACTTTTATGGAGTCTATGATACTGTGCTGTTCATTTGATGCTGTGCTGTTTGTCTTTGTGACTTTTCAGAGTGCTATTTTAGGAGATCATGTACTGCCGTTGTACATCCCGCAATGCTACGAATGCAAGTTTTGCAAAAGCCCGAAATCAAATCTTTGTTCGAAAATTAGGTACGATGTTTTTGGATCTTTAGTAGAGTTATGATGATTTACCAACACAGGGACACCCAAGGCAAAGGCCTCATGCCAGACGGTACCAGCAGATTTTTCTGCAAGGGCAAATCTTTGTTTCACTTCATGGGCTGCAGCACTTTCAGTGAATATACAGTGGTTGCCGATATATCGGTCGCAAAGGTTCAGAGCTGTTCTAGTATATTTCTTAGTTCGTGGTATATTTTTGATGATTTTAATCTTATGTGACTGATTCTTAATATTTTGAATGTTGTGGCATTTGCTTTTTAATATCTTGTTTCAGTTTTTAAAGCTTTTGAGATGGAGCAGTTTGCATTTCTTGAAGATAGGGCATTTTGCTCCTGAAAATTGCGCTGTTGAGATACAGATTTAAAAATAAATTAATTATACATGGCGGAAAGTAGTCATTCTGTAAATTAATGGATAGTTACCAACATTTCGTCCCCTCTCTCGCGATCTTAGTAGTCTTCTCCAAGGTAAAGCGGGTAATTTTTAGATATCTATTCACAGCATTGGCCACATGCCGCATTTCATAATGGTTGAGGTGCGCGTCAAAACGTCTGTAGCAATCTGTCATTCCATTGGCTGACTGTTTTGCGTTACGTGTAGTTAATCTGCTTTCGCGCTGTTTCAAATGTTGACTTTCGTATGATTTTTGATCTTCATAATTATAAGTAGAATAATCGTCCTGCAGGGTGAGTAACGACTTGAGTCAGAATTGACTTTTCAGGGTGAATTGCGTTGTTGTACACTCGTTTTACTGCTACTAAAGCAGTAAGGTCCTGTGTTCATCCGTAAAGTCCATGCAAGTCCATTTGGGTGTGTAAAACGGTTTGCATGCGAGGTAATTAAAACCAAAGCATGACAAGTCCTTCTCTAACTGTAAGACATACATGTTTAGGAGAAGGACAGGATTAAAATCTTAAAACAGAAACTGCGTGATAATCTTTTTATTATGCCATCCACTTCCTTAGCATAGGTCAAATGGTGGCGCTAAACGCTAGGAACGATTTAGGCTGAGGGAAACTCAATGACGTTCAGGAATAGAGAGAAAGAATATAATTATTTGGAGTTTAAAATGTTTTGCCACTGATAAATGCCCATTTTGTTGTACTGACTAGAGCAGAGCAGAAATTCGTTGACGCGTCTAGTTATGGTTACTTACGTAGGTTCAGTCAAATTTCTAGCCATTACTTGAAACTGATAGTTCAAACTTCCCTGTTTACTGGAATT